GGGGGGGGGGGTAGAGGCCTTGTTCACACTCTGTCATATCTCAGATACATTTTGTGCCACGGTATCACCCCAATCCAGACAGCGAGACAAAACAGTCTGCAATCTTTTTCAAGGCGGGCTGAAATTTGAAGCTGGCGTCTCTTTTTTGAACAGATTGAAATTGTCTGCAGTGCACTGATGTGCAGGACTCAGCAAGACTGTGAGAGTTTGGAAATAGTACATTCAGCTTAAAGAAAAGCATCCTCTCTTAGTCTCAAATGTTCTTTTGACTTGGTGGTCATTTTTGTTATCATAATCTTTTTAATACAACTTGGAAAACTATTTTCTATTTACACTGAGAGGTAGATAAATACGTGCCAATACTGCTATTTTGACCAATCCAACTTTATTGAGCATTTGTTTCCTGTCATTGACAAATAAAGACTTAAATCATTAGGTTTATGTTTCAACAAGTTCCCTCTACGCGTCCTCCAATTTCTGAATTATTACAGATTCTGCACTCCCATGATGCTCTGGTTTAGCAGTAGTGTGTTTTAGGTGATTAAAGTAGATGACCGTGGTTACATGATGCAGTATTCCTGCATCCTCTCAAATGACTGACCAGACCCACCATGTATGATGTCAGATTTGTTCCTTCATGTGGACACATACAGTAACATGAGCTCAGTGTCTGGCGGTGATGAGCCCCCCCCCCCGAGGCCTTCCTTCAGCAGGCTTTTAGTGATGCTGAGTGGCTGCCTGTCAGGCAAAAATTAGCTGTGAACAAGATGCTGAGTCAGCACAGAGAGAGAGGGATGAATGGAGAGCTGATTTTAAAAAAAAAAAAGAGGGGGAATCCAGAATGGGAGGAATAAAGGGTGTACGGGTAGGTGAGTGGAAAACACAAGCCTGGACTCATAAATACTTTAAATGTTCAGAAAAGGTGACTATCGCACCACGAAGTTCCTCTTCTAGGAATGGATCAAATACTGCATTTCGTCTGTTCCATGGCCTTCTTCATCTCCACATTTCACCCCTGTGTCCTTGTCTGGGTTTGTTTT